CTAAGATGTAGGTGACTTTTTTTCTTGAGTAGAACAGAAAAGACGCTTTTTCAGCTGAAACGTCTGATTCATAAAAGGCAAGCCAATGGATACCGTCACTTTGAGAATCAAAAAAAGCATATCAGGCAACACAAAATGAATCCCCGTGGTTCCTGATGATATATTGAGGTCTTATGAAGCGAAATGATCAGTCTGTGCAAGAACCTGATCATTATTTACTTTATTACCTGTAATCCAGAGCCTCAGGCAAACGGAGAAATCTGATTCTGATCTGATTCTTTCGAACAGTTCGTTTCAATTAATTCACTAGTTCATTAACATAATCACGCAGTGATGTAAATTATACGCGATTATATTAATAAAGCACCCAATAATAATGTGAAACGTGGATGTTTTACACGTCTAAAGCATATAAACAGAATAAACTAGTCTGCATCAGCTCACCTTTGTACATAAACAATGGGAAATCCTAATAACATTAATTAGGCCCTTCATTCAAGTGTTTGGTTCACTCGTGAACAGTCTGAGTCGAACTGTTTCCTCAGTTCAGTGACTGCTGAATGATTCATTCATCAGAGGATCAGATGCGCTGGTATTTCGGCTCATTTTGACTGAGTAACTTGTAGATCTGTGCTGCTTGAGCCACAAACTGTTTCAGATGATTCAGTCCGATTTGGTGAACTGATTCAACTAGTTCACCAAAAAGAACCGGTTCAAAAGAACCGATTCGGTTGTAAACCTCACTCATCACTCCGGGACCGTTTGCCTGAGGCTCTGGATTACAGGTAATAAAGTATATAATGATCAGGTTCTTGCACAGACTGATCGTTTCTCTTCATAAGACCTTGATATATCATCAGGAGCCACGGGGATTCATTTTGCGTTGCATGATGTGATTTTTTTTTATATTAGCCACTGCATTTTGTGACTCACCGAGGACCACAGTTTCAGCTAGAAATCATCTTTACTGTTCTACTGAAGAACAAAAGTCAGCTAATCTTGGTTGGCCTGAGGCAGAGTAAATCACCAGCTAATTTTCATTTCTGGGTGAACCGTCTCTTTAGTCCAGATTCGGCTCACCTCACAGTCATCCAGAACCCCATGTGGACTCAGAGGCGAGTTTTCCTCGAACACCTGACCGTTCCAACCCCGGAAACGCAGGGCCCGAGGCGTCTCCATGGTAACCGTCACCGGGTCACTGTAGCAGTGGAGGGAAACGGTCTGGGTCGCCATGGCGCTCAGTAAGTGTAAGAACTTCATCTGGACTTTCCCGACATCAAACGCGGCCTGTGAAGTCAAACATCCGGCTTCTTAAACCCCGTGTTTAGATAATCAACATTTCTGCGTTTTGGCAACTGTAAGTTTGCGGTTGAAGCTGACAAATGATCAGACTTACAGGAAATCAGCTTTTAATTCAAATCAGATTTGCCTTTAGAGGAAATGCGATATCGCTGCTTGACATCAAACACTCATTTATTTTCCCTTCAGTTTGCTCGTAATTGCATGAACCCGCTCGAATCCTGTTTGCACAGTCATGTTGACAGTCGCTGCAGAAATGTGTCGTACATCTGGACTCGTTTTTAACTTTTACAGCTTCGCGGAAATAATGCCATTAAATGACCAGCATTACCAAATAAAACGAGTTCATCATAAACACTGCATATCTTCACACAGCGACTTCACAAAATAAACTGTGTGCATTTAACAGTGTTATTTTAGTATTTTATTTTCTACATTTGTGTTTTTATAATAATTTTAGTTGTGAGTAGTGGTCATTTTATTATTTTTGTCATTTTTTAAAAAATATGTCTATAAAAAGATTTTAGTTTTGGTTACTTTAGCATTTCAAATGAAACTAAATGTAAATGAAAAAAGTTGAAATAAAATAAGTTTATTTTTTACATTTTATTTTATTGCAGCTAATGATTTTTTTATTTTATTTAAGTCATACTTTTATGATTTTAGTTTTAGTTATGGAGAGTTTTAATTTAGTATCATTGAGATACTATTATATTTTATGTTTTCATTTACATTTTTCTTAATGTTTTAGTAATTTTGTTTTTTTTAGTGTGTGTATATACAGTGGGGGGAAAAAGTATTTAGTCAGCCACCAATTGTGCAAGTTCTCCCACTTAAAAAGATGAGAGAGGCCTGTAATTTTCATCATAGGTATACCTCAACTATGAGAGACAAAATTAGAAAAACAAATCCAGAAAATCACATTGTAGGATTTTTAAAGAATTTATTTGCAAATTATGGTGGAAAATAAGTATTTGGTCAATAACAAAATTTCATCTCAATACTTTGTTGTATACCCTTTGTTGGCAATGACAGAGGTCAAACGTTTTCTGTAAGTCTTCACAAGGTTTTCACACACTGTTGCTGGTATTTTGGCCCATTCCTCCATGCAGATCTCCTCTAGAGCAGTAATGTTTGGGGGCTGTCGCTGGGCAACACGGATTTTCAACCCCCTCCAAAGATTTTCTATGGGGTTGAGATCGGGAGACGGGCTAGGCCACTCCAGGACCTTGAAATGCTTCTTACAAAGCCACTCCTTCGTTGCCCGGGCGGTGTGTTTGGGATCATTGTCATGCTCAAAGACCCAGCCACGTTTCATCTTCAATGCCCTTGCTGATGGAAGGAGGTTATCACTCAAAATCTCACGATACATGGCCCCATTCATTCTTTCGTTTACACGGATCAGTCGTCCTGGTCCCTTTGCAGAAAAACAGCCCCAAAGCATGATGTTTCCACCCCCATGCTTCACAGTAGGTATGGTGTTCTTTGGATGCAACTCAGCATTCTTTCTCCTCCAAACACGACAAGTTGAGTTTTTACCAAAAAGTTATATTTTGGTTTCATCTGACCATATGACATTCTCCCAATCCTCTTCTGGATCATCCAAATGCTCTCCAGCAAACTTCAGACGGGCCTGGACATGTACTGGCTTAAGCAGGGGGACACATCTGGCACTGCAGGATTTGAGTCCCTGGCAGCGCAGTGTGTTACTGATGGTAGCCTTTGTTACTTTGGTCCCAGCTCTCTGCAGGTCATTCACTAGGTCCCCCCGTGTGGTTCTGGGATTTTTGCTCACAGTTCTTGTGATAATTTTGACCCCACGGGGTGAGATCTTGCATGGAGCCCCAGATCGAGGGAGATTATCAGTGGTCTTGTATGTCTTCCATTTTCTAATAATTGCTCCCACAGTTGATTTCTTCACACAAAGCTGCTTACCTATTGCAGATTCAGTCTTCCCAGCCTGGTACAGGGCTACAATTTTGTTTCTGGTGTCCTTTGACAGCTCTTTAGTCTTGGCCATGGTGGAGTTTGGAGTGTGACAGTTTGAGGTTGTGGACAGGTGTCTTTTATACTGATAACAAGTTCAAACAGATGCCATTAATACAGGTAACCAGTGGAGGACAGAGGAGCCTCTTAAAGAAGAAGTTACAGGTCTGTGAGAGACAGAAATCTTGCTTGTTTGTAGGTGACCAAATACTTATTTTACAGAGGAATTTACCAATTAATTCTTTAAAAATCCTACAATGTGATTTTCTAGACTTTTTTTCTCATTTTGTCTCTCATAGCTGAGGTATACCTATGATGAAAATTACAGGCCTCTCTCATCATTTTAAGTGGGAGAACTTGCACAATTGGTGGCTGACTAAATACTTGTTTTGCCCCACTGTATATATATATACTTATATCAGCATCACTGCTGTCTGATTGTTTATGTTAGGTTTTACCCACCCAAAAGTGACACGTAAAAGAAACAAACTGCGATTGGTCATTGTATATGTCAGTCAAATGGACTCTTCCTATACAAGTGAGCTATTCTTGGCCATACTGAGGTACAAAGTGGACCAGAAATGCATCTGTAGTCTCACATAGTCAAACTCCCAGTGTTTATATATCAGCATCATGATTTAAAAAAAGCTAAGCTAAAGAGAGAAACTTTAGCATTACAAGAGAGAATGAAAGAATGAAAGAAGTTAAAGGAGAGAAAGGAAGCTGGTCTCAGACTAACCTGTGTTGATGTGTTGTTATTGGTGGAGACTAAATCTCGACACTCCCCCAGAGTCACTGACGCCACGAAGATCACGAGTGTGGTCACCATACACACCAGCAGACTCTCCAGCACCCTGCCAATCAAACAAATACAGCGTCAGACTCCTGTTACCTGACCGCTGAAATTCTCCAGTTGTTTTGAGTAGCTTTATTCAACATTAAATCCATATAATTGAGATCTCTCTTGGGTACCTGATGAATCTTGCTTTGGGGTGAACGTTTCTCATGCGGTATTTTGCAAGGCGTTTGTTGATGCAGTTGAACAGAGCGCCGAGCAAACCTCCTGCCACCCCCATCAACACAAAAAACGCCAAATCTACTGCCGTCCACAAATGACACGTCTTATCTCCATCTACACACTGCAGATAACAAAGAAAAACAGGTAAGTTAACACCACATACCTGATTGATCTGTATTTCCAATAATTACTTAGTCAACACAAAATCACATACGCAAGTGTTCGAATGCGGAGGCTGAAGCTCAAGATCACATTCATTTATCTCAATAGCTTTCATTAACTGTTATTATTGCTGTAACATGCATCACATTAATTAACTTTAAATTCCTGCTTTAACTTTTTTTTTTTTAAAGTTTGCATTAACTACAAAAGCAGACTAAAACAATGATGATTAAATAACATTCTGGCATTTTTTTTTCTGCCCAAGCGGCCTAGTTGACATCAGATTTAAAAAAAA